GACATGCCGCTGCCATGTCAGCTGACTTGCCTCTCTGAATGGGAGTATCCCTTCTTGTGTGCCGGGCAGGGCGACAGCGTCTGGGAGAGGAAGCCCCGGCCCCCACGGCCGGCGGGCCGTCCCTGTTCCGAGCTGCACCGCCACCTGATCACACTGCAGCAGGTGGGCGATGCGGCCTCAGTCGACACGGAGGAGGACAGCGAGTCCGACCTTGAGCGGGACGACCAGGACGAGTCGTCGTCGGGCAGCGAGGCCGAGAGCTGCGCCTCCTCAGAGGCGGCGGAGTCACAGTTTTCCTCAGAGCAGGAGCTGCGTGGGGTGGTGGAGCTCATCACGTACATGCACACATACTGCCTGCCCAGCCGCAAGCACGGCGCTGGGGTCCGGCCCGAGTGCCCCCAGAGCCGGCCGTCTGCAGCCTGCCCCAGACCGCCGCCCCTGGCCGTCCCTGGCTCCCGCACACGAGTGCCCTTGGCGCGTCCACGGGAATTCAGGCGACACTCGCTGCTCCGGGAGCTCCTGGAGGCCGTCAAGACGTTTGACGTGAGCAAGCCTTACAGACTGCAGAGCCCGCCGTACTCCCATGGCAGGCCCATGGCCCCAGACAGGAAGTCAGAGGGAGTGCCCCAAAGCGAGCTCAAGGACTCCGGGGCCCCCGAGGCCACAGCGGGGCAGCGCTCCTCCTCAGGGGATACCTCCTTCTCCGTCAGGCGCTCCCGACGCCTTGCCTCCTTCCCCAGCCGCTTCGCCAGGAAGTCCCAGGTGGGGCCCGGCCGCCCACGGGCGGAGTCTGTTACCGGGCGGTGCTGTGAGGAGGCGGGACCGGCCAAGCTTCGCTGCACGAAGCTTCCTGCCAAAGAGACGCAGTGTGGTGGTGGATCCTGCAAGGCTGTGGCCCCGAGGACGGCCCAGCTCGACTCGCCGTACAGCCAGAATGGTAAAAAGAACAGGACAGAGAAAATCTCCCATCTATTTAAAACAAGTGCAGTTTATCCAAGTTTGTGTGCAAATCAGAATATTGGTTGAATTTCGGATTATCCTAGCTTTTATGCAAAACAGAATTCCGGTTTATCCCACCTGTATGCAAAACAGAATACTAGGTTTAGCTCGGTCTGTAGCTCAGAGATGACTCACTAGAGCGCTGTTTGAGGTATCACTCTTCCATGGTACATCAGCAGTCACTTGACTTTCTGCTTGTGCTATGGTGACCTCCAACCCCTGTTTCTGATTACAGAGAAACGGTCCCAGCTGTGCCTGCCGCTGGCCCCCAAATCCACAGGGTATGTGTTGACGTCTCTCCTCATCCTGCCCAGAGCCTGCAGCTGGGCTTAGGCTCTCTGTGTTTAATAGGGGTGGCATGAAGAGCTCAGTGTCCCACACGTCAACAAATAGAAACTCCAATTACAGAATCCCAATCAGAGATGAGATCTGACTCACTCTCTCTCTCTCGTTCTTCTTCTCTCTCCCTCCATCCCTTGCTTATTCAGAGTGCCGCAGTACCCCAGCAAACCTTTCGAGCAGAACCTCAGCGTGGAGCTGTGTGGGACCGCAGGTACCATCCGGAGTCTCTGATTCCCAGGAGTCAGGCGGAAAGAGCGCGAGTCCCGTTTCCCGTCAACGTTCCGGAAGCGACATGGCCGTTCCAGACGGCTTTGAGGTGTTTTGACGATGCAGGCTGTGCCTGGAAGGTTCCGGCACATTAACGCCATGTTCATTTTGAAGAGAGAGGGCAGTACATTAAACGGTTAATGACAGGACTAGTAAAGTTAGGAAAGACGCGTCAGAATAAGCCGAGAAACTCATCTGATTGGCCGACATGAGCAGAAAGGGGGGCGCTGTAGAGCAAAGGTGAGGGTGTCTGGATGCTGCAGGCTGGGGGGGTAATGGTCTGGGCTATATCCACAGGCCTCACGCCCCCTACCACCCCTCCACATAAGTCCGTGGAGGACGAGCCCTTCAGGCCGGAGGGCCGTGCAGAGGGACCTCCCCGTGGGTCCTGGCTGTCCAGGGCACACCCCCGGAAGCTTCTGGAGCAGACGGAGCTGTATGCCCAGCTGCGAGGGATTAGCCAGCCAGATGCAGAGGGACGGGCACAGGGGCCCGTCCACCGTACATTTGGGGACCACGATTACTGCTTACAGGGGCTGGCAGGGAAGGAGGGCGGGGCTCGGGGGCGGCCCTACGGTGGGCAGCTCCGGCCCGAAGACCTGCTTACCTCCAACGCCCTGGACAGCCACAGTGGGGAGGGGGAATTGCCCCACTCGCCCCAGAACACTGAAGGGAGCTCGACCTGCCCCAGCCCGGACCACTGCTGCCCCCCCGACTCTCCTGGCCAGCTGAGCTTCAGGTACGGCCCGCGTCCATTGGCCCCGTCTGGCTACCTCCCCACATCCCAAGCATACACCGCCCCCTAACCAGGCACCTCTCTGTGTCCACAGCCGCGAGGACTCGGAGACGGGTCCTGGAGATGAGCAGAGCAGCCAGGCTTTCGTAAGTGGGGCAGGCGGAAGGTGTGGGCCCATTCGGAGCACAGGGCCCCCATCTCACGGCCCGTTTCCATGGTGTCATTACCTAGGACGATTGCCAGGTGTTCTACATCCACAACCTGCCTTGCGGCGTCACCCGGGCGATGCTGTGCGAACGGTTCGAAGCGCTGGGGGAGCCTCGGGACTGCAAGATCATCGTCAAGGACAGGTGGGTCACGCCCCAACCCCCCCCCCCCCACTATATGGGCAAACTGTGGCTGTAGGAATACGGATTAGTGTCTGTGCAAATAGCTGTCGAATCGGGATGTGACCGATCTCCCTATTGCTCCTTAAGGGAGAGGTGCGGCGTGGTCACCTTCCGTCAGCCCCCAGGTGGCTCCGTGCAGAGGCACCGGTGGGAGCTTCCCCCCCGGAATGGATCACCACGGAAGTTCAGCAGGAAGCGCTACATCGATCTAGGTAAGCCCCACTAGCCAATGCGCCCCCCCCCCCAGTGCTGGCCATTTTTGTTGGCCAACTCCCTTTTGCACGTTTCTTAACACTAGAATGTTTGCCGTCAGCGGAACCACTTTTAGCCGCTCATGGGATTTTTATTTACACAAAAATGTTCTGTGGCCAGAAGGAACAATGATTGGCTCATAGAGATAACCAATCAGGTTGTAGAGGAGGTTGGTCCAAGCAACAAAAGGAGGTGGGACCAAGACATCTGATTGGTTGGTTCCATCTTGTCTTGTTGCTTGAACCAATCATTGCCAATCATTGTTCCTTCTGCCCTCAGAACATTTTAATGTAAATAAAACTCCCATGAGCAGCCAAATGCTGCTCTGCTCCCAGGATCCTTTTAGCCAGGTGAAGCTGACCAAGCAGCTGTGGCTGTCTTTGTGCAGATGAAGCGGGACCTGGACCAGTGAAGAGTAAGTACGACGCGCTGGACTTCGACACCCTCTTGAAGGAGGCGCAGAGGAGCCTGCATCGCTGACACGCCTTAAAGCCCCACCCTTAAGACTGGCGCCAGGACGTCAGTCAGGGCACCACCTAATGTTTACATTTTTAACATCGGAACCAGAAGCGGACCGTCACCTCCTTCGCATGGGGGTCTGAGAAAGGCGGACTCAAGGACGGGGGGGTGGGAAAAAGCCTAAAAACTAAAGTACTCTGAACTGCAGAAAGCTGCTTTCTGTGTCTGAGTGTGATCGCACCCCGGTGGCGAGCCGCCCGTCCTCCCATTGGTCGTCGTGCCGTGCGTGTGTGTGTGTGTGTGTGTGCGTGTCGTCCCGTCTGTAACCCCGTAGTCAGTACTGGTGGAGCCGCAAGCCTCATTCGCCATTTAGTCGTCGTCGTCATGTGTGGGGAAATTCTAAAGGAAAAAAAAAACGCTTTACATGGCAAGCCGTGGGTGTAAAACTGTGTTTCACAAGAAAAGAAAAAAAAGACAACTTAGAGTTTACAGTTTAAAAGAAGAAAAAAGCCCTCGTTTTGTAAACTTAGCGCTTCCTTGATTTCATCTATGCACTTGTCCTGAGGTGATGGTTTTCTTGCTCTTGATCTTCCGCCATTGACCCCCCCCTCCCCCCATGCCGCCTGTGAATCGGACCCGTCCTGACTGCGCCCCCTTACTCCCTGCGTAAAGATGACAGGCTGCAGTCCCGGTGAGGGACCCTAACTGCTCTTTCGGGATGGACTGTTACCTCCTAAAGAAATGGCAATTAAAATGTGCCCCATTTTCACAGCAATTAAAACATGGCCAGTTTTTAAGCAATTATCATGATTTTTTTTTTTGTTCTGACTTCTGTTCTAGCCTTTTTGCCATTTTTGATGTTTGTTTCTTAGCACTTAACGCAATAACGAAGATCCAGTAGGCGAATTACTCAAAGTGTGTTTCTGAAGGTTTGCACTGTAGCACAGTGTTGGGGAGCTCAGGGCACAACGCTGGTGTTTTTGTTGTCTGGAGACCCTATTAATGACAAGTATTAAAAGCATCAGCTGTTGTCCAAAGAAGCACTTAACCTGTCGCCCGAACGTGACACCTGTCATCTTTACACTCGCAGGACCTGCACTACTGGGCAAAAGTTTTTCCACACCACAGGTTTTTACTGCTTCTCCATTTATTTCAGAAACTGCAGATTTTCTTATTCTTGTTAAGCACTGGAAAGTTGAGTGAAGAACTATAAATGAAAATATAAGTCAAATAAAACAAGTTTCCTTTATATCATAGAAAGAGAATGTAACAGTGCATGTCTGACATCCTATTAACTGGTTGTGTGGTGATGGCATAGTCAAAATCTAGGCTGTCCTTTAACTTTAAATGTATTAGTTAACCGTTTCATTCCATGAAGTAGAGCAGTGTTTAATGTCCCTTGTAGAAAGAATGCCTTAAATTTTCTCTGCTGCTATAACTGCTAGAGAAGGTTATTTTGATGAATCAAAGATATGACATTTTCTTGCTAATAACGGTACTCAAATGGTGAACATACTGTAAATTTATTTCTTAGCAAAGAATATCAAGTGTATTTTAGTAAATGTTAAGTGAGTAACATGCAAATGTAGAAAATCTGTGTGTGTGAAAGAACTTTTGACTAGTAGTATAGTGCCCTACGTTTAGGCTGTTGTCCCATAGCCGCCCCCCCCGCCCCGTAATAATCCCTTGCAGCCTCGCTGAGCGGGTCAGCCACATGGTGGCAAGCTGGGAGCGTCGAAATGTTCTGGAAGTCTCGTTCCTAGAGGAAACAGAGGGGTATCTACCTCGTTGTTCTCGCTCTCTTTTACTTCCCCTCTCTCTCTCTCTCTCTCTCTCTCTCTCTTTTCTTTTTTTCTTTTTCTCTGTGGGCTCGAAGCACTTGCCTCATTGATAAACTCTAATGTTTGCGTCTGATTTTGACACTTAACCTTGTCTGGGTGTGTTGTTTTTGTGTTGTGGTGTGTCAGTCGCTGCTGTTGCCGGGGGTCCGGGGGGAGTGGGGGATAAGCCTTGTTCTCCCCCACCCTTTGTTAATCTTCAGTCCTGTGAGCCCCGGTAGGATGCAGTTTGACCCTGTGGGGGGGGGGCTGTCACGGCAGGGCCCCCTCTTTCCACTTTCTACAACTTCTCTTCCTTAACACACGTGAATCGAATGTTTACATCACAGCACCCCCCTACGTGCTAGAGCGCACGCTAAGCACACAGCGGCACGTTTGGCGGCACAGAAAACCTCACGGCCCGGCTCCCTGGCTTCATGGGTAAACCACCGGCCCCAACGTAAAGTGCGCCCTCTGCTGGTGCCACCCAGGAGAAACGCAGAATTGTTCCTCCTACTGCGCCTAACGGGTGTTTGTGCTTAATGTGCGGACTAGTTAACGGCAGGTGGACGTGCAGGTTTACATGATTTAACCTTGTTCTAATGGCTTATAAGATGTCTATGGAGATCCACACCGGGATTCGTTGTGGCCGTGCGTTTGGCAGCCAATCCCCGTGAGGGGGTGGGTCACTCACTGTTCATCTGGGGACTGCAGAGATGGCAATGGGCAGGAGGGAGATGCTTTAAGGGAATTCTAGGGAGTACTTGGGGGGTACCCTAAGTCAATGGGAGATTTTTAAATGAGTTTAATGTTTTTTTTATTTTTTAACAGTACAGATGCAATATGTGATAACGAGTCAGCCTTGCCAGCCAGTGGGAGGGGAGAAGCTTGTCCAGACATTCTTTAACAGAATGGTTCTCGATTGTATTGGTAACAGACTAATGCGGGTAAATATCACACGTGAATCAGTGCGGTGTTTCGTCCATTCCCACAATGCAACTGGGCGTCCCACAAAGTCAAGGCCTGTGTGTCTGTGCGTTTTTAAGGCTTCCACTTAAGCTGGGTTAGAATGGCATTGACTCCTGTTCGTTTGCGGGCGTTTGAACGGACGCCGTGGTCCAGAACGGCCTCTTGCTAAACTCCCAGCAGCTCCTCCTGCAGATCAGGATGAGGGGAAGCGGGTGGCCAGATTTGAGCCTATTTCAGGTTGTTGGACTGGTTTCTTGCCAGGGGTTACTGTTGAGCTGGTGGCTGGATACAGATAAACAGTTAAGAATCTCACAAGGAGAGCCTTAAAGCTACAGGGGGAAATAAAGCTGTCGGTAGCTTTTAATAATACAGTTAAATGTCCTTTAAAATGCTACGTGTTTTATTAATTACTGAAGTAATTTTCAATACAGCCATATTATAAACAGTATATACATATATAGATATATTTGTGTGTGTGTAGATAGATGTATAGATGAATATATAATTTCATATAGAAACCTTTGACCATTTCCTCCAGTGTTCTGAGCACTTTTCAGCAAATTTTAATGACTAACTAAAGTGTTGGGTGGAGGAATCCAAACCTGAACACTTCCAAAGGGAGCCAGACTCTTTAGATCAGTGTTTCTCAATCCGGTCCTTGGGGACCCACAGATGGTTCACGTTTTTGCTCCCTCCCAACGTCTTGCCAGATAGTCAGCTGGGCGAGAGCAAAAACATGGACCGCCTGCGGGACCCCGAGGACTGGACTGCGAAACACTGCTTTAAGTAATGATTAAAAAGGTGTCCATGCTTTTCACTTCAAAACGGTTGTTTACCAAAAAAAACACGGATCTGGGCTGCCACACCGGAGCAGTTTACACGTGTCAGACTGTTTGGCTTTCAGTTTCCATCCAGTGCCAGCGATCCAAATCAGGCCTCCAGTGATGGGCCTGGTTCAGTTTTCCCAGCCGTCTCCATAGTGCTGACACTGTAGACTCCTCCCTCTAAATCAGAGCTGCTTTTTCGAATGTTAAGCGTTGTGGTACGCGACCGGCCTCACGACTGCCAAGCGGAGTCGCTCTTCCGTTGACTCGATGTCAGCACTTAATCATGCCATCCTGTGCGCTCTCATGTCCTATAGAACTTTCCACGGATTGGCAGGCGTCCGATTGTGTTTTCCACTGATCATATCTAATATCCACCAATCATTGCCCGATTTTTTTTTTCCTTTTTTTAAGAAACTTTGTTTTGTTATAAAGTATTTGGCTAGTAAGATTTTATATTTTTTACATACATTGGTTTATTTTGCTTTTTATTTATATGCTGTTTAGTTTGGATCCTCCTCTGTTGTGTGATTTCATGTCTTGAGAATGTGGAGACAAAGCTTTTCTGTATTTTTGAATTGTTAAAATCTAGTTTCATAGATAATTTTACCAAAATAGCTGAAATTATCTGATGTTATAAATTATATTTTAATTCATGTAAATAGTTTTAAAAAGACTATGGCTTCCTTTTAAACTGAGTATGTTTCTCTTGAGAAATTGTTTACATTATTAAAGTATAGAGATGTTCCTCATTTACTGTAAAAAGTACATATATTCATTGATTTGCCTTCAGAGAATAAACATCCTAATGAACAACAGCATGGCTTCTTGTGGTGAGTGAGTCTGCTTTGCTGTTTTTCACCTGCCTTTGTGGATGCAGTGTGTCTGTGTTAGTCCAGTGCTGCTCTCTTCTACAAGCCAGAATGATTGATTCTAAGCTGCAGTACAGCACAGCGGTCTGTAGTCTGTCACTAGTCTCTGAGTGTGTATTTGGTGAGACTTTATAACCACATTACTGAGGTCCGTCAAATCCATGGGCAAACCCCACCGAGGAACGCCCCTCTTGCCCCTTCCCAAACCCATTAAAATGCCATAAACACTCAGTCACTCATGATCTGTTTTTATTTCCACACCAAACACGGCTCCTGCTCTATCCCAGCCTGCCTGAGAGTGTTGGGCTACTGATGGTATAAACGCTGCATTTCAATTGGATAGCGGCGTTCTGAACATGTGACACTGCATGGTACAGAGTCGTCCTGCTGTCTGCAGACGGAGGTGTCAGCTGACTGCGGAGTGTGTCATCTGGAGTCCCGATCTGCGAATCTGCCGAGCCGGGTAGCAGATGTGGTGATTAAGATTTCATTCACTCTGGTTAACGGCGTTCCCCACAGGAACTGGCGGCAATTTTCCGCACTGGTGGTCTCAGATGCAGCCGCCGCTGTCAAACACCCCTAAAGCAAATGGCTCGGATTGCAGCTGCACGGCACAGCGCCCTCAGGTGCCGTCTGCCTGCCCTGACCCCTCATTTCCTCCTCCCTCCCCCAACCTGACTGGGTGCGTCTGATTGGCTAGATTTAAAGGGGCGTGGCCTCATCTGACCAAAACTACTGGGACCACAGAGCTGATTTCTTTCCAAAATCAGGGCGTGCAGACAAGCGGCGTGAAAATGGCACTGTCAGCCACGGTTTTTGCTGCCCTTGCGCTGCTTCGCACCGTGGAGCGTGTCTGCTAGCAGCCGTGGCTGCTGACTGACGTTCACTTCCACATGTATGCAGACAGACGCGAATTCGGGCCATTTTATCCAGAATCTGACCCATTATCAGCCAGATGCTGTCTGGAATAGCATTTGTAATTTGGTTTGTTTGCACTGGCACTGGGCACAGTGGTGCAGTGATTTACGCTGTTACATCACACCTCAGACCTGGGTTTGAGTCTCCACATCTGTGGAATTTGCCTCTTTTCTTTGTCTCTTTATGGAGTTTCCTCCAGGTACTCTGGTTTCCTCCCACGGTCCAAAAACATGCTTAGATGCAATGAAGTTGCCAAAGTGTTCATAGGTGTGAATGGTGTGCGAGTGCGCCCTGCGATGGGTTGGCGCCCTGTCCTGGGTTATTCCCTGCCTTGCTGCCTGTAGCTTCCGGGATAGGCTCCCAACAGAAACTGGATGAATCTGTGCAGTAATTATAACACTAGATCCCTAAATAATGAAAATAAGCTGCGCTGATTTCTTTGAGAGCTCCACCTATAAAAGATGAGCCTTCACTTCAGTGCCAGAAGACACCGTACTAAATGCCATGAGGTGACACCCTCAGTACTAACCAAAAGCTGCTACAGACTGAATGCATGGCTCTCCATGTCCCCCAATAATCCAATGGTTCAGTGTAGGCCTCCCATCAATCTAGTTGGTGTATGGTTTCCAGGGTGGGGGGGCAGAGGGCCCACCCAGATCCACTGGGGGCTTCAGCTGATGATACATGTCTTGGACTGCTGGCCCTGAGGTGCACTTGCTGCTGCAGTGAAGGAGATATTAGACCATTTGGGTCAGCACAGAAAATCTGTCATTGTGTCTTACACAGCAAACTGAGAAGATCCAGTTCCTGAGCTTACCTGATTCCATACGCCCATATAGATAAGGTATAGCAGATAGACTCATAAAAAGGCTTTAATCCGGCCAAACCATGCTAGAGTGTTCCTGCTCTGGCCCATCCATGCTACAGTGTGAGTCACTTCCTGTTTCCTGTCTTTCCACTTCCTCACCTTGTTTGGCTGTAGCTGTGGTTGCTGCGGCCTCCTCCTTCTGCTTCTTCTCCTCCTCTAACTTGGCCAGTTTGGCTTCGTGCTCCTCCTTCAGGGCGTTCCACTCTTTCCGGTTGTTCAGTAGCCGCTCCAGCATGGGCGTGATCTCCACATGGAAACGGGAGAACTCCTTCCCAGGGAGATGGAGGGGATGGAGATCACCAGGGCTCAAAGGAGTAATGTCAACTTTGGGCATTTGGTGAAAATGTTCACATTTCGTTTAACTCAATCCTTGATTAACTTGCATTTATTTTGTTTCTGATTCCCAGGTGAAGTCAGACTTCTTGCCTGTAATCGCAGCCTGGGGAGTTCTGCAGTGGGTCGTGACTATGAGTCAACATCTGACTCAGGACTCTATGCTGAGCACGAGTTTGCCTGAAGATGCAGGAGAATTTATCACAGGCACAGGACAGCCCAGCAGGCTCACCTTGTACACGAAAGAGCAGACGAAGTCAATGAAGCCACACTGGAGCTTGGGCAGGTCGTCGGCCTTGTTCCTGTCCATCATTGGCTGAGGGAGAAATGGAAGGTGGCTGTATGAGATGCCATGGCGGGCACAGTGCGGTCAGTGCCAAATGAACCCGCTGACTGCTATCGCAGCAAGAATGAGGGATAGCTGCTGAAGAAGCTCCAATTGGACTGACATTGCGATTAGATCAGGGCTCCGATCCAGCCAACAATCTGACTGAATCAGGGCTCTCCGGCTAGCATTATGCCTGGATCAGGGCCCCAAAATAGCCCAGATTCCAAATGGATAAGGGCCCAAATATAGCCAACATTCCGACTGGATTAAGGCTCCGATCCAGCCAACATTCCAATTGGTGCAGGGCTCTGATCCTATTGACATTCCGACTGGATCAAGGCTCTGATCCAGCCAACATTCCGATTGGTGCAGGGCTCTGATCCTATCGACATTCCGACTGGATCAAGGCTCTGATCCAGCCAAAATTCCGACTGGATCAAGGCTCTGATCCAGCCAAAATTCTGAATGGATCAGGGCTCCGATCCAGCCAACATTCCGATTGGTGCAGGGCTCTGATCCTATCAACATTCCGACTGGATCAAGGCTCTGATCCAGCCAAAATTCCGAATGGATCAGGGCTCCAGTCCAGCCAACATTCCCACTGGTGCAGGGCTTTGATCTGATCAATATTCTGACTGGATTGGGGCGCTGACCTAGCTGTTCTCATGTGCCTCCCTGCCTCATTCTCTCTCATGTCCCCTCCTTTCTGTCTGTCTGCCTTTCCTTTCTTTCCTTTTTTCTCTTTGCCTTACAATGGGCTGCTGCTCCAGCACAGTCCTCTCCAGGTCACCCTGCTCCCAGAACTCCGCTGCCACTGAGAGCGCCACCTAAGGGATGTAGGTAGCATGGTCACACACACACACACACACACACACACACACACATGAAAAGCAATATGGGTAATGAGTAACAGGACACTGTCGAGCTTGCCCAGGGCAACGGTGCTGTCACCTTGCTTTGTATCTCCCATGGTTTGGCGATGGCTGATAAGTCACAGGCTGTCATCATCATCGCCCTGTGATGCAGGTGACAGAAGAAGCAGGAGAGGAGGATGATGTGATAGATGATTAGATGAAGCAGTAAGCCATGGGGGGGGGGGGGACACTTACATTATTATCTCCTTCTTTGTTGTCTCTAGCATCATGTACTTGGTCCAAGCATCCCAGTCATCAAAGGTCTTAGACTGGTCCACTATCTTCTGGAACATTGCTCTTTTCCTGTGGCGAAAAAAATAGATTTGTTTCCTATAATGTGGAGATCAGGGGTGCTGCTACAGATTTTGTATCAGGGCCCCTCTCACGCAGGGGCCCATGGAATCACCCTAAGGTTCCCTAACGTTTTCAGTTCCCCCGATGGACAAATGTTCAAAATAAAAAGAATAATAAAATAAAAACAGAAGTATTTCATGGCAGTAGCTTTCTTATGTCTCGTTGAAAAGCTCTATAATTGCTATAGCGCCCCCTCTTCCTCAGTAAGAACGACCACCTCATGCACTTGAAGCAGTAACCTCTTGGTGGTGAATCCCTGTCCCAATCCACTGTCTAGCACCTATGTTTTTTAAATATGACTGGATCATATTAAACCAACAGCCACTCACTCACTTAAAATACAGGGCCAGGTCCGTGGCGATGATGGCGATGTCCATAAGATGGATGACGTGATCGTGCTGCCGCCGGTTCAGGTTCTGGTAGATGTTCAAGTCCTGTGCGTGGTGAAGGCTTGTCATAGCAGCCACAAAAGGAAGAAGCGGACAAGGGTAGCAAAATGCACATAGACACTCCTGGAGGAAAAAGTGGGTCCTACCCAGTACTAGCTAAGCATACCTAATAAAGTGGCCATTATGTATTTATATATAGTGTCTTACATCATCTCTCAGTAATGTCTTCCCAAATTCAAGGTGGTGCCTCTCTAAGATGGAGGAGCCGTGGAGTTTAGCCAATGGGTTCCCTGATCTGTGGATAATAGGGTAGAGAGGACACTGTAAGCATGAAGAGTTATGTACTAGACCATCTGTAATGGATAGGGTTAGGGTTAGTGTCCTAACCTCAGTGATCCCACACATAAATACTGATTAATACTGAGATATCTGAGAATGTGAGGCAAACAGACCCATAGGATGTAGAAACTGGGATGGGAAAACTGATTTATCCAGGATTCCTTTTGAACGGGAACATGGATCAGCACAAGAGGGCTGGGATAGGTGAATGATGGAAAAACAAACCAACAAATGCCATGAACAGGAAGAACAGGACAAGGGGGAATTGGTGGAACATGTCGCAGGAAGCAGAAATGGACAAACGCTTACAGGGAACCACTTCAACATGCCTTTTTGCCTCCTGTCTCTCTGGGGATATTTCAGTGGATGAAATTCAGCACTTACTTCATCTGGTAGAGATTGTTGGTCCCTCTGTGGTCGATGTCGTGGCAGAAGCCGGCAGTTACCATGGCCATGGCCTCCAGGTCGGTATAGTAGCGCTTCAGGTCGCCAGTCTAATGGGATGGAATGGGATCGTGGCTGCGGGCTGCATGCAGGCACACTTGGATCCCCTAGGGACCCCTGCTCTAGGGATGGCGCTTCCCACAAGAGCTTGTTAAACTTAAGAAAGCCTGAATAGTGTTGACTTCAACAGTTTCCCAAGGAAAGGGCAGAGCGAGCGTGTCTGAACGTGCATATAAGCGGTTCACACGGCTATCGGGGGATATTATTTCCAGTCCATACCCACCAGCGAATGCCAACGAAAATCATTCACGCTCAGTGTGTCCCATTACTATTCAGCTTATCACTATGGTGACAAACTATGCTGAAATAACAAATGGATTGTGCTCTATAGAGAGAACGTTACTGAGAGAAATGAGAAACCATTAGCTGAGCTGAGGAGAAGAATTGAAGTTCTTAACCATAATTCTGCATCTTGCTCCATAAATACTAATCCAGAGTATAATGCTCAGGAGACCTTCCATCTCTACCCCTGGGCCATCTCCACTTCGACAGCCTACTTCCATGATCCTACTGTTGCAGGGCAGAACTGGGTGTGAAAGATGGAAACCAGTTCCTACCATGAGCAATGTGAACATGGTCTGACCCACATTGAATCCATGTCTCCAGTTGTGGTAGGTGATCTTCCTGTACCCCTTACTGAGGGAGTACATGAATCTCACCAGTACCTGCAATGAAACAGGTTCTTCTAGGTATTTATGGACCTCCAAAGCCACACCGCTTCCTTACATCAGGCTATCTTACTTGTCAATTAAATGCATGACTCTTGAATACAGCTCCATCAATGAGATCCTGGAGTACTATTATGAATGTGCCGGAATATAAATATGGCTCCATTCACTTCTTTTAATTTGTAATCTTATGACATTATTGGTTCTTTAGTACAAAGTACATGGTGAAATTGTGCAGGGTTGTGAATAATATACCACAAGCAGCAAATCTCCACAGCTGGAAGATCTGTTTTTGCTATGTATTTACTAATCCATATATAATTGTTACATTCGTGGAAAAACATACTGCTGTAAACATTCCCAACAATTAAATCTTAGGATTAACTGATAATTAGCTGGCAGCCAATCATTTTCCAAAGGTAATTATCCACTGTATGGGCACAGTGAGTGTGGGGCTTATCACAGGAAGCACAGGGCAGACAAACACACACAACTGGCATTAATCCACCAAAACTCCACATTTACAAAGCCAGCCAAGGATCGAGTCCACAAATGAAGAGCTGAGATGTGAAGTCAAAGTGAGCCAACATGTCACCATATGGGGTGGGCCATACCCAGGATTTTTAAAATACTGAGGTCAGAAGTATTAAGCCCATTCAAGATGTGTCCTGTAATGGATCATGGTAATTGGAGTTGCAGAAAAAATATTGAGGACTTGACCTCAGCGTCCTCAACGCTAGGTATGGGTATGCGTATAGGTAATGATGTCATGCTGGAAACACTGGAAAAAGTATCCAGCAGATCTACACACAGTTAGTGCAGGTCAGAGATGTTTGCCTACGATATGTTTCGAAGAAGGGAAGTAGACCTGATGGAAGAGTAAAACGACATTCTTGTGGCCTCACCTCCCGTGGGATATGGAACTTGTCCACCACTCCAAGCTCATAGTACATCTTGATGCCGCACATGACCAAGTCCAGCTCGCTGTGCTCAAAATCACAGAAGTGGAACTCGAAGATCTCGGACTCCTCCGAATCTGGAAGTGCTTCTAACTATGGAAGACGGGAGAAGAATTGAGTCCACAGGCAGGCTGAAAGGAGGGGGCTGGTCTACATGAAGGCAGGAGATGCAGGGGCCGAAATACCAGGATATCCTCAAGTTCATCCTCATCGCAGTCACAGGGCTCCTTATCATACACCTCTCTGGTGTTCTAGAAGAGAAGAAGAAGCTGCCATCCATCTTTCTTCATGCTTCTTGATCGCTTTAATCATTACGTTATACATGGCGTATATGAAAGTAGTGAAGCAGTCAAACCTAAGGCCCTTTATTAGTTCTGGTGTAAGAGCACCACCTACCAGGATGTTCTGGATCTCGTCCTTTCTGCATTTGACATGATAAAGCACCATGTTCTGAAAGATGTCCTTGCGGTTCTCCAGCTTGTTCATCTTGTCGTAGGTGTCTGTGTTCAGCACTGACCACCCCAGGAACTGGGTGAGTGACTAAAGAGGGGGAGGGGCTCCATTTTAGACAGTGAATTTGCATGTATTTGTAGAAACAGGTTTTTATTTGTAACGGCTGATTATCATGGACCCTACATTACCTCCATGAGAGTTTCGTCCATTTCGTCGAAAGGTTTCCCATCCTTCCTGTTGTAGAAGGTGGCCACGCCCACAATCTCCTCTTTCTTGTTGACGATGGGCATAGAGAGCACATTCTTTATTGTCCAGCCAGAAGTATCCAGGGGTTCTTTCTGTGGGAGATGAAGGGATGAGGTTTCGAATGGTCGTCAGACATCTATAAATCTTACTGTCTTCCTGAACATCTTTTATTTGTGTACACCTCATCACTGAACACACATATGGATTTATGTATATCTACATCTCTCTGTGTAGTTAACTCTATAGTTATTTCAGGTTCTACAGCTCTGGTAATAACACTACTGGGAATGCTATAATTTCTGCACATTTTAGCATAATTACTTTACACTAACAAGCCTTAAATAAGCCACCTCAGATGTTTTTCTGTAGTCGTATTAGTGCTCTGCCAGCGACTCTGGAAAGGTGCCCCCTGTTAATTTATATTCTTTACATTTGTTTGCCTCAGTGAAATTCATTTCTCGTTCCTCTATGAGAGAGTGATGGCGGTCAGTGCTCGCGTCCAGATCATGGGTATTAATCACGAGCGGGAGACACGGTCGGGCACCCCTGGCTCTTACTTGGAACTCGAAGAATTCATCCTGCGCTGCATTCATTATGTTGCAGATCTGTGAGACAGAAAAGGACAGAGACAAATGTTCAAAGTTAAGGCCTTCATGTTGTTAATTTCAGCAGCCAATAAATGTGAGTGACCCGGCAACCAGCCGCACTGTGTTAGGTGCCTGACAGCCCCTTAAGGGCCTGTAGGTTGGGCAGAAAAAGACCCTCACCAGGCCAGTCTCTGCCACATAGGTGGGCAGACCGCTGACCAGGGCCCAGTGGTCTGCTGGTGGGTTTCTGAGGAAACATCAGTGCATCAGCACAATGTTAGAGTAACATGGGATAGGGGTGAAGCATTATTGGGACTGACACTGCCAAATCCAACTATGGAGAAAACTGAGAAAGTCTCTGATTTTCTTACGGGATGACTTTGATGTCTTCCTTTCCATGTAGAATGTAATCGATCACCTTGTAGAAGTTGATTTCCTGAAGGGAAACATATTTTGTGTAAATGTAAACTGGGAAGCTTAATTGTTGTTACGAGCATAGTAACCGAGGATAGGGACACACGGTGCTGATTTTCCACCCTGAGTGTTTCTCTGGTTCTCTGCTGGCTCGTATCACCTCGCCCTAGAACATGTGCCTCAGACGTGGCTGGGGCAGGTGCAGTGTTTTGGAGGGGGCCACTCACCCTGCCATCCGGGGTCTTAGGGCCGTCGTAAGGGGCCACCTCCCCCATCAGGATGGGCCACAGGTCAAAGAATTCCTGCCAAGGGCATTAAAAAAGAGCTCAGCACACACAATACGGACACAGACTCTGCTGCTCTAATTAGATAATTAGGGAGGAGGAGGTAAGGAGCGCATGCTGATAGAGCATGTTACCACACCCACTACACAACAACCCACCTCAGGGCTGGATGTAGTTTAACACCATACCTAGGACAAAGCAATTGTTAAGGGCCTTGCTCAAGGGCCTAACGGAGTAGAATAACTCCTGCTATTCACAGGATTTGAACTGGCAACCTTCTGATTACTGACACAGATCCCTGGCCTCAGAGCCACCACTCCACCCATATGCATAAAAACACCTACAACTGAGACAGAATCAGCTTTTTTCACTTTCTTCCAAGAAAGAAAGGAGTGACATCTTCACCACTTAACAGCAGTCATTCTGTGTCTGACGGCCCCATGACACAACCTGCCCAAAGTTTTGGGTGTAGGGATGTCAGGGTGGATGTAAGTGGCCCAGGATGCTTTTCAGGAGCATGCTGAGAAGCTGCGGTCCAACCTTGGCCTTAGTCATGTCCAGGAGGCCCACGGAGTAGCGGTCGCAGTTCAGGAACGCCCTGACCGTGTACAGCGCCTTGTGGAACTGCCTTTCGATGTCAGTCAGTTCCTCAAAGACCTTGCTGGCCGACCACAGCAAAACCTGCACCGGATCATCACAGAGACAGCGGACGGGACGAGAGTCTCAGAAAGCTTCTGAAACATTTAAGACATTATTGTTCAAACAGACGAATGGTCATATTAGTAAAAAAAACCTGAGGCCTCTGCACTAACAAGCTCAAAAAGTACAAAAATACAGACTTAGCATTTCAGGGTCTGTTTTCCCACCCTAATAAGTATCTACAGAGTCATAAAGACTCATAAATCATCACACTAGTCCTGTGTGCTTTAATTCAGGTGAGTCATAGTCCTCAGATGCTCACTTGTATGCCGCCTTTCTTTAGGATGATAAATTATACTTGAATATTGTGGCTATTGTGCATGTCGCTGTGATATTCTTGCGGTATTGCTGAAGTGACGGTCAAATGGAGGTAAACAGGCACTCTCTCCACCGAATGGCGACTGAATCTGACGTGCCAGCATCTGCAGGGTCCCTAGCTTTTCGACAGAGGCATGCAGACTCACCTGGCCCCTCCGGGTTTCACAGTTGTGCAGGTAGTTCAGATGAAACACCCTCAGCACCAGGTTGGCAAAGTCTAAATATTTCATCAGGGTCTGGATGAAACAACCATGGCCATAAATTAGCAAGAATGATAATGGAAACTTCTCCATTTCTGACTGCTTCAGTGGCGGAATAATTTATGCTTGAAGAAACCACGATGCTTTTGTATCTATTCTGTGCAAACACGGCACATTTATTACCTCTCACCACATGACACACTGGGAAACACACTGAGGCTGTAATTGAAGGTGTGTCACTGATTGAAATTAAAATTAAAAGATACTTTAAGCGCCACGTGTACAAGTACGTTGGAATTCTTTAGTTTTCACACATCCTAACTTGCTCTCCATTTTAACACATGGAGGTAAGAGTGAAGCTTGCGGTCTGAGTGCAGGGTAAGCCATTTATCCAGCAGCCCTGGAACATCTTTCTGGGGTTAAGGATCTAGCTCAAGGGCCCAACAATGATGTAATTATTCTCCTGACGGTGGGATTCAAACCAGTGATATCTTGATCACAGGTACAGGCTCCAAACCCCACCCCCCCAAATTATGCCATACATCTGGCTACCAAACATACCTCCTCATCCTTCTTGGTGAAGCGGGGAGCATCCACCTTGTTCACTGCCATCATGACGGCCACCATGTCTTTGCCGTTCAGGATGGGCGTGGCCAGGATATTCTTGGTCTCGTACTCCGTGAGGGTATCCACAAAGTCACTGAAATGGCTGTCCTGTAGATGACAGTATTCAGTATTTAGGTACTCAGTAGTTACTTAGTTCCCAGCCATTTATCTAGCTGCAGGTGCAGATATGTTGTTTCTGGGCCCCACACTGATGTAACATTAAAGTTAGCTAGCAAGTCGAATCAGAAGATGGTACCTAGCAGGCTGGTTAGCAGAATATGCGGCTTCAGCATCTCTTAAATAAGAAAAGTGTTTATTTAATATTTAGTCTAGTGACACACAAATGTGTGGTTTCAGTGGTGGTAAACACCTCTGCTACTTGTGTATGCAGTGTATTGTGAAGTGACTCTTTCATCTTGGTAATTAATGGTTAACGGCATCTGGTCCCCTTCAAGGGCAAAAGCTGCCTGTCCAGTTCACTGCCTGAAAAGCTGGATCTTTATGGATCAGCATGTGTTCCTATCTCGTCCACGCTGATGTTTTTACAGCTTAGATGGGTACTGGGGCTCTGTGAGACTGATCCCGACCCAGGTCACGGTCACCTGCGTGCTAGCTTCATTTCAGACAAATGAATGAACAAGCGATGTAACTCAGTTAACATAAAATCAAACACACGTGTTCACAGTACCCCATATTTTTTTTATCTTACATTTCCACCACTTTTGATCATTCAGGGCCCTTGAGCTGCTAAGAAAGGGTTTCATTTATGTTTATCTGACAAATAGCTGAAATGGTGGGGTCTAGAAAATGGTTAAACAATCATTGATAAACACAACAAGATATTATAGGGTATTTCTAAGGTGGCAGTTTAATGCATTTAAATTGTGATTTTAAGATACGAGTCAGTGTGAATGTGCTCTTTATTCACTGGCGCCGCATTATGGATCGGTTTCATTACACACTGATTACTGGTGCATCAGGATTTGTGATATGAAAGTACAGCACAGTTCTGCTGACTTCAGGGATGCTATTTTGGGGCATGACCTTGTAAAATAATCCAGGATCACTCTAATTCAACCAGGATTACTGGGTCATTATCCCTTGACAGTTAAATAACGCCCTGCATCCCAGAATGCAATGGGCACAAGAGACATGTTACTCGGATTAATCTCACTGCAATAAGGAAAATGGAGGCCAGCAGGCAGTGAAGTTTTTGTTGGATAATCCAGAAACGTATCCAATTTACTGCAGGCACTGAGGAATGCTGGGATTGCAGTTAAGATATGGATGTTTTCTAAAGTGCACTAATGAAGCCTGAACCTATTGTCTGGGGCAGTGTTTCCCATTCTGGTCCTCTGTGACCCCCAGACAGCCCATGTTCTTGCTAACTAGCTTGGTGACCGTCGGGGAGTCTCTGAGGCCCAGGTTGGGGAACACTGGTCTGGGGCAGCAGTGACAGGAATCATAAATAAAACTTTTAAGAGAATCACTACCTTACAGTGTTCGACAGACTCATCTCAGGCTGGAGATGTGATGGAGATGATCTTGAATTTTAAGGATGGGAGAGCAGGAATTACAGCCTTCATCAGTAATAAGGCGGGGGGGGGTGCGAGAGGAGTAGGAATGGTGGGAAGGGGACAACGCCATGTTGTCCAGGCAACGCCACTTAACGTGATTATCCCACTCACTCTTTCTCACTAGAGCCTAGAGCTTATACCTGTATATTCATGTGTGTGCAGGCTGAGCTTAGAAGATGCTAAGAAGCTAAGCTAATAAAGTTTCAAAGCGTCTGGTAAAGCTGGATGCCGTTTTTGCTGTTCTGCACTCTCTGCACCTATCAGACCCATTATCCGCCTTGGAGAGGAGGCAGAGCCAAATGGATGGGTACTGTGTGGACAGATATGGTGGACAGACAAGATGGACAGGCACAGTGCACAGTAATGATGGCACATGCTGTGGACAGGCACAATGGACATGCTTGCTCATAGTATCCAGGGGCTCAGCAGCTAAGGGAGCCATCGCAGCCGGGAAGGGCAGCCCGGGGGTCATGGAAGACAGAGGTCGGGGACAGAAAAAAATGCCCAGTGTGGCTGACAGTCTGCCTTTTTCATGCCCGCCCCGCTCGTGTTGGTAAGTCAGGCTGTGTGAATTAGTTTGGATGGAGTCCAACGTCCTCCTTCACACATCTTTTCTAACCCACTGGGAAGACGAGGGCCTGGCATGTCTATAACTGTGTATCTCAGAATAAAACATAGATTAAACCAGCCAATGATCATCCTGCATTTACAACACATGACATAAAGAAAGATACGTAGTGGCTGCAGGACGGGGTGGAGGCGGGACCATTATCTCCTTTAAAGACCTTCTCAAACAATCCAGGTGTAAGATATGCATGGTGTAGCTAATGTTACTTGATGGAGCGGAGCCGTTTCTGTCGCTGCATTTGCTATCTGCCGTGTGATGCTGCTCCGCCAAGACACAGCCGTATGGCTGGAGAAGGGGCCTTGCACCGTGATGGATGCGAGCATTGATTAAACATGTCTGTTTCATCCCACACAACAACCTACCTTACCTGTCTCATACTGCTCTGGCTTCATAAGAATTTAGGTCTGACACCAAAGACCTATGCTGTCACCTAGTGGTGAGAAACAGAGTAGCGTGACTTAAATTTTGCAGCGATGTTTTTCCCTTTCAAATGATTCGTCCCATTTGTTTGCCAGAATAAGCCCAGGTGAAAAGTTCAGGTCCAGAAAGTACAAATCCAGACCAAGGTTTTGTTTCGACCAACCAGTTGCATATAAAGAGTCACAGTCACAGAGTACTGAACTGGTTGGTTGAAACAAAACATCGGTTTAGATTTGTACCTTCTGGATCTGAACTTTCTACCTCTGAAAATAAGACAATTAAAGAATCTGCTTCCAGCAAGGAAGGCCTTTTTCTGTTCTACGATGGAGCAAATACCTGGGTGACATCTGGAACGTTGACCGTTTTCTTGGTGGCAGCCACGTGGCCCACGATGCCGGTGTCCAGCGGGTAGACGATCTCACAGTCTGGGTGCACCAGGCAGTCATCCAGGGTGGCGTCCTTGTGCACACCAAAGAGGCGTGTGGCCAGTTCGGCTGTGCCGTTGCGCTGCCGGTACATGAACAGGCTCATGCGGTCTGCGTGTAGCAGGTGGCTGAGGTGTCGCATGAGGTTGAAGATGGCCCTCTCCATCTGCAGGTTTTCCTGCAGGTCCCGCACCAGGTCAAATATGATCTCACTCTCTTCCACACTGGTCAAGTCGCGGAAGCTGCCGCGGTCCAGCACCGGGGCTCTGTCTCCTAGCAGGTCAGCGATGACCTGCGGCCGGAACCTGGAGTCGTAGTAGCTCTTCGCGAAAGCAGGGTTGCTATCCAGAAACTTCTCCACCGTGTCCTTGTCCACCATCGTGATGATTAAGCTGATGAGTCGAGGCCTTCGAAATCACTCTGAGGTGATATTACTCCACACAGGAGAGTTTTAATGCCACTGACCTGCTTCAGGATGTTAACACTCACATTTATCCGTCACACCTAGACAGCCAGTGGCTTAGAAACAATTAGGATAATGGGGATAGATTTAAATAGTCATGCAAGACTCATCCAATTACATTTCAGGATTATACACGTCACATCTTGTAGGCCACAGAAACATGGAGGCACATAGGGTGGAGAGCATGGGATCCAAAGAACATGTAGTGTGTGGGAACCAGCGGCATGATTCTGCTCTCCTGCAGAAGATGCTTGACTGGAAAGGGAGGAGCTTGCAGGCGTGTGCCCTACATAGTGGATTTCAGATCTGCAGAGACTTTTCCCAGCATGTGTAAGATCCCCTTAGCACACCCAAGCATCCCAAAGGAGTTTTGTGCTTTGATGCTCAGATAGTATTTAAACAGCATATACCATAATGAGTCAAAAAGAACATTCTAGGAAAAGAGACTTTATCGATGAGCTGGTTTGCTGTGGGTTTAAACTATGAGTTATCTTTCATGTGGTGTCTGTATGTGTGGATTTAATGACATGGCAGACTGTCTTACTGTGGAGGCTGACACATCGTGGACTCTATCTTCTGTTGGGATAATCACACAGTGAACTCTGCTGTGATTTCCTTACACAATAGCCCATCTACCATGTGGTTAAACGCCCACTGTATGTGCTTTCATTTACATTTATTTGTGTAGCAGACATTTTTGATCAAAGCAAGATACAACTGAAAAGGGTCAGACAGTCCCTGGGGCAACAGGAGTTAAGGGCCTTGTTCAAGGGTCCACTGGTGATGGCACTCCATCAAATATGGGATTTGAACCAACAACCCTATAATGATGGGCACAGTATCCGAACCCACTGAGCCAAACACCAGCTTGTTTCCTATTGGTAGACATGGGGGCTCATATGGAATGTGCAGTATACAAAGAATTTTAGAAAATAATGCAAAACTGCCCCCGTCATACATAAACAGTGAGTAGGAGAGGAGGAATTTGAAATTCCAGGGAGTGTGTCCCCAGATCATGTGAACTTTTGTGCAAACTCTCCCTCATAACGTTCCAGGATGTTGGCGTCTTTGTCCTGTATGGTCTCAGATATCTGAAAAGACGAAGCCATTGAGTAAATACCCCACTTTTCTCATGGCAGGGGGTGCAGAAGCAGACCTCTGTGACCATGTGACTCTGACGCATGACGCCCTCTGCCCACATGCATGGTTTCACTGTGTGACGCACTCAAAGTGCAACAATTCAGCCAGACAATAGTGTTAGCACAGGGACAATAAATGAGCTATGTTCACGCCGCATCGCTATTCATTAATTTTGGGCTTAAACTTTCCGAGAAATATTCCAACAAGAAATCTATCAATTAAAACCAGTAAATCTATGACCTACGTAGGTTGGTCATGAATGCAGTTACACAGCACTAAAGGGTCAATTCATGTTCGATCGACTCATTTATTATATTAAAAATTAAAAATAAGTATATAAATAATTCAAAAGATCTATTTAAGGATATCATTCCCTTTTCATGTTCCTTTGGGTATCCTTTTACATTTACAAGTATTATTCATAAATGCGGAGTTTTGAGAACATAAATGTTGGTTATAAACATGAAGTGTGATTTGTGTGAGATCTCCTGATTATGTTGCTCCGCCCTTTCAGGCACACAACACTGGGCAGTGTTATCTGATCAGGAGCTCTAGCCCAGAGGCCCTTCTCCTGGCCCCTCCGCACCTTTCGCAGGGATGGGGCGCCGCGCCGTCCGCGCTCCTGTCATGTGATGCGGGTGCACGCCTTCGGTCCGCAGCTTTTCAGCCCAATTGCTGGTCCAATGGGCGTCCAGCGGGCAGGCTGTCTCTTAAACGGCGGAGCCGGGGCTGCAGGTGAGTCACTTCTTAAGGTCTTTAACGAGTTTTCCCATTTTTATTGTATGCAACAGTGAGAGAATAAGTTTCAGATGCGTTTCAAAGCAAATTTGTGTTTCTACATTTTTATCGCTAATTCAAAATTTAGTTCGTCAAACTATCTGCGCTGTCCGTAGTGACACGTAGTTAGGATTCTGGGTGTTAAAACGGAGTTTATAGGTAGACCCACCTGGCCTCAGCGCACGCAAAGGAACAAACTGGTTGTTGGGGGGGGGGAACTGGACGCTCACGCTGAAATCGCTTAGTCACTCCTCTGAACTTGAAACCGGCGCTGACATTCACCTAACCGGGAAAACGATGCATTTTGTGTTGCCTTAAACATGTTGTTGTTGTTATTATTATTATTATTATCATCGAAGCACAATTAGAATAATTAAAAGCTTCAGCACGTTTCTCCCCACGTGGCACTTTACATCCCTTGCAAATCCGTGCTTATTCACTAGTTGCTTGTAATGATTTCCCTTGGAGTCCATAAAGGGGTCCATTGAGGTGATGCCTCATGCGGTGTAAATAGAGCCGCCCGGGCGCTGCTCAGTGGCCCCATTGTGTGCAGCATAGACGCCGGTGTGTTTCCCGCGGACTGCGTGGCTGCCCACTTGCCGGAACGCCGCGCCGTTCACGTTGGCTGCACGTGAAGGGGCTCGCGGATGGAGCGCATCTCTCCGCTCATTGGATGTTGGCTTGCACGCGGAGCTGGGGCGCGGGAAGGTGCGGGGTAACGAGACAGGAAAATAAGCACATAAATTAAAGGAAGGAATGCGTAAGGAGATTAAATATAACGATTTCAGACGCAACTACAAAATAACATAAAACGAATTCAAACACAAGATAACATTCTGGAAAAAAAGGATCATCTGATAATCTGAGTAACGTGAAAACAAACTGAAGACGCTGCACGTTTTTGTAAAAGTCTTTGCTAACTTTAAATATATATGACGTCTGACAAATTCTGGGGGTTATAAAGACATTATTAAGTTTGACCAGTTTCTCTAGGTGTGATTCTTAGGAGATTAGTGTTGGTTTGACCATTTTTTTTTTCTGGAAATTTCTAGTGAGGGTTTACCTGTTAATATTAATGTTTGTACAATTAATGTTATGGTACAGTACTGTATACATTTTAACCTAATCAAAATGCTACCCTATGCCTTCTATGAACTGTATGCTGTAGGAAGGTCACACTCCCAGAAAACAAACTGATCATTCAAAGCACATAGTTAAAGTTTAATCCTTTTTTAATAGTAAAAAAAAGTTCTGAAAAACAGTTTACCATGATTGCCAACTCCCACGCATCTGGTGTGACGCTCACAGACGGGCATGCAAGAAATTTTACAGCAAATCTATATTATTCCATTATGAACCTAAAATAAGATTATCCCAAAAGTGTTGGGATAGTTCACAATCCCTACAGACTATTTACAAGGGAAAAAAAAGAACTATTACATATATGTAAATGTGTGTGCAGACCTGTCTCAAATTGAATATCTCTCGCCAGCCAGCTGACCAAAGTTGACAACCCTGGTTTGCAATTTTGCCCCAGGGGTGGGCGGGGATTAAGATTACAGTATCTTGTAAAAGAAAGAGTCCATCAGACAGTGCAACATATTTTTTTTCCATTCCTGTTTTTTGATAATTGCAGGGATCCTTTTGGAGGTAATAAACCAGTTTAATGTGGGTTTCTAACCTTTGAGATCATGAGAAGGAGCCAGATGTATGAGTGTAGATTTATTCAGTTTCTGTGCATCTAAAGTCTGTGGAGATATGGGCCCGTCTTTATGATAGTCACTACAGATCTGTGCAGAATCCTTATTGACGCACATACCATACTCTACTGATTGCTGGTGTGCAGGATAGCTGACTGATTTCACTTTGAGTCAGGGAATGACACTTTGTCTTTTATCACAGAGAGTCATTTGAGGGCTGAAGAGCATTTAAGCATGGATCCTGCCCTATGGTAAGAGACCTAAAACATGAGCTTGTTCATACTAATTCATTTTTCAGTTTTCAGTTAAATTCTAGTTTCTTTAATTTGCAGTCTGTACGAATTTTGATTAGAAAAAGCTGCATAGTTTTAGGCACAAATGTTTTTATTTTATAAACAATTGTGTGCATCCCGGCAGCGTGAGTGATGTTCAGTAATGACTGTTTGATCGCATCCTGGTGCAAATTACTCCGTCGTCCAGTTGAGAAATTCTCATGACTGGTGGTGACGGCATGGTGACCTACAAGAACAGACGCCAGATTGACGTGTCCCTTTTGGGTCACTTTGCCTGTCTCGCCCAGCTGAAGGGAGAGAGTGATCAAGAAATGGCTGAAGAGGACCCAGATGGCGTGTCGGACGAGGACCGGACCGCCTGCACACATTTGCCTTTCATCTTGGAGGTGCTGGAGAAGGAGAAGACGACTTGGAGGGTGTTGCTGAAGCAGGGGCTCCGGAAGCATTGTGCCTGCAGCTCGGCCTGGGCGAGGGAACTATTTCTTGGCTTCTTTCCTATCCTAAGGTGGCTTCCACGCTACCAGCCCAAAGAATGGCTTCTTGGGGATGTGATGTCGGGCGTGATTGTTGGGATCCTGCTGGTGCCCCAATCCATCGCCTACTCCCTGCTGGCTGGCCAGGACCCCATCTATGGGCTCTATACCTCATTCTTTGCTGGCATCATCTACATGTTGCTGGGCACATCTCGCCACATCTCTGTGGGCATCTTCGGGGTCCTTTGCCTCCTTGTGGGTCAGGTGGTGGACAGGGAGCTTGCAGTGGCCGGCTACCTCACCGACGACAATCCCAACACCACAGCCGTCTTTGACGACGTGACCATGAGGCCCAGCTGTGACCGAAGCTGCTATGCCATTGTGGTGGGGGCCACCGTTACCTTCACAGCAGGGGTCTACCAGGTGCGTCTGAGCAGCAGTCCTTCGTGTGAAACTCGGCGTGGCTGACAGCATGATGGTTTGAGGCATGTTCCCTCTGTTTTTCAGGTGCTGATGGCTCTCCTCCAGGTTGGCTTTGTGTCCGTCTTCCTCTCTGACTCTCTGCTCAGCGGCTTCGCCACGGGGGCCTCCCTAACCATCCTCACCTCCCAGGTGAAGTACCTGCTGGGGCTCAAGCTGCCCCGGGCCCAGGGTCCCGGCTCCCTCATCAAGACGTGGATTCTTCTCATCCGGAACATTTCGCAGACCAACGTGTGCGACCTGCTCACCAGCCTGCTCTGCCTGCTCGTGCTGATTCCCGCCAAGGAGCTGAACGAGCGTTTCAAGGCCAAGCTGCGGGCCCCCATCCCCTTCGAGCTCTTCGTGGTCACCGCCGCCACGCTGGCTTCTCACTTTGGGCGTTTCCAGGAGCGCTTCAGCTCAGATGTGGCCGGCGAAATCCCCACAGGCTTCATGCCGGCCCAGCTGCCCGCCTGGTCACTGATCCCCAACGTCGCCCTAGATGCCATTTCCGTGGCCATCGTGGGCTTCGTCATCACCGTCTCCCTGTCAGAGATGTTTGCCAAGAAGCATGGCTACTCAGTGGACGCCAACCAGGAGATGTACGCCATCGGCTTCTGCAACATCCTGTCTTCCTTCTTCCGCTGCTTCACCACCAGTGCAGCACTGACCAAGACCCTGGTGAAGGAGTCGACGGGATGCCACACGCAGCTGTCGGCACTGGTGACGGCAGTGGTGCTGCTGCTGGTGCTGCTGGTGATCGCTCCACTCTTCTACTCACTGCAGAAGTAAGATGCCAAGATGCGCCTCTGTCGCGTCGCTATTTTGTATTTAACTAGGGCAGGGGTTGGCAACCACTTTTCTTGAATTAAACGGCACTTCATTCTAAACAGCTTAGCAACATATTTATATGACACCAACAACAAAGTGTAAAGAATTTATTTTCAGTGTTTTACGGACTAGAACGAAAATGGCATGTCTCTAACTCTTATTCTGTTAATCACTAAACGGGTGTTTCACGGCTTTGATAAAACATTTTTAACGTGTTCGCCATTGGTGAAGGGCTTTCCGTATTTTATGATCTCCCAAGGCGCCATAAAATTGGCAGCAACTGTGCTGAACTCCAAACCCTTCTGAACAATGAAAGCTTTCCATCTTGCTTGAAAATCAAAATGTCCGTACAGTCCATACATCAAGAAGCTATCCAAAGATATGCAGTTAAAAAAATCACATTGAACAGCTAATTTTCGTATTTGCGGCTATAAGCAAGCATGTTATATTTTAGACAACCACAGAATTTCATCATACAGTATATAGGGACAACATTATATATATTTTTTCTTTCTCCTAGCATATTAACCTGACAAAGTAGCTCTGAATGCATATACCTTTGTCTATTCATCTCTAATTGCTTGATGTTAATTTATTTTTCTATTCTGACATTTTGAAAACTCTTTTTAGCTGCCCTGTGACATAAATTATTGGAATTTTTTACGGTAGCGGTACCGATTTGACCAGTTGTGATCCATTGGAGTTAGGCTACCAAGATGAACATCACAAGTCACCAGCAGTCAATATGTGGCGTTCGCAGAAGCCTCTTCAGATTTTTTGAGGTGCTGTATAGGCTTTGCAATGTTTTCGCCATGCATAAGGGTACGTTCAAAACCGCATATTATACCAGACTAAATTTAATTGGAAATGTACTATTCAATGTAGTACATACTGTATGTATGCAGACAGCCAAAGATCTGCGGGTTGCTGACCCCTGGGATAGAGAATCCTGAAACTTTTGTCTTGTCTGTTTTTACGAGCCAGTGATACTTCCCTTCCTGTCTTGTTAGTGGCTTTCCCACTGCTTGCTCTGGTCCTGAGGATGTTTGTTAATTTAATAATTACATTTTTAGGTGTGTCTTGGCAGTCATCATTGTAGTGAACCTCCGGGGGGCGCTATGCAAGTTTGCTGATGTGCCCCACATGTGGCGGATGAACCACGTGGATGCTACCATCTGGCTGGTCACCATGGCCACCTCTGCTCTGGTGAACACAGAGCTGGGTCTGGTGGTGGGGGTACTGGTATCCGCCCTCTGTGTCCTGGGCCGTACCCAGCGGGTGCCTGCGATACGTCTGGGCCAGGCCGGCCGCTCGGAGCTCTACGAGGACCTGGCCACGTACAAGGGGCTACAGACCCAGCCGGGTGTGGCCGTCTTCCGCTACGTGGCTCCCATCTACTATGCCAACCAGGCCCTCTTCAAACGGGCGCTGTACCGGGCCGTTGGGCTGAACCCAGTGGTGGAGAAGGCCCGGCTCAAGAAACAGGAGAAGCGGGAGAGAAAACAAAAGGTACCTCCCCGCAGAGAGGCCGAGCCGTCCAACGCTTTCCTGCCAAAGTGGACTCTCTTTCACACCATCGTCCTGGACTGCGCCCCAGTTCTCTTTCTGGACACGGCCGGGGTCGGTGCCTTGAAGGAGGTTGCTAAAGACTATGGTGGGCTGGGTGTTCGGCTGCTGCTGGCCCGCTGCAGCATGTCTGTGCTGGACTCGCTCCGCAGGGGTGGTTACTTGGACCCCGAGGCTGAGGGAAATAAGATGGTGTTCTTCACCATAGGTGATGCCATCCACTACGGCCAAAGCCTGGCCTCTCAGAACGGGAGCTGTGACACGGAGTGTTGAGAAACCAGGGAAGGAGCACAGCTTCTAGACGGGAAGCACGTCAGGCCGAGTGTGTCGCCCCAGAGTCCTTCTGCCTGTCAGGTGTGAGGCTCGGTTGGGTTTTTTATGGGGAAAGAGAAACGGACTTCCCATTCTTTAAATGATATTATCAGTATGTTTGTATGAAGGAGAAAAGTAAATATTAATTTTGTTTTGAAGTGTTTATACAAATCAGCGTTCAATTTATTCATTTAATGAATCAGTTAAGCTAACTAAATTAATTTATGGAATTTAGCCACTTTGTAGCTCTATTAAACTAGTTGTACTATGTTATTTTAAGGAACACTAATCTTTGTGTAAAAGAATTCAAAATCAAAAATGTCAAGCACCGTCAAGTTATACATTAGTTAAACAAATGACCAAATGATGTCTAATTATTGGGACAGTCAAAAGGGGCCCAGGAGCTGAGCTTTTCATGCCTGTGATGAAAACTAGATGATGATGTTCATGGATCAATGCATATGGCAGCCATTACCTTAGCTAGATAGTAATATCTGCTGTTTGCTTCCAGGAGGCTGATGGGGCAGTGGGTCCACGTTTAGGCGTGCCTTTGCAGTAGGTCTGTTTGTCCCGATCTCATTCTTCATGCTTTCTTACGTGGTCTCCACTCCGGCTCTATCCAATCCTGTACTATGGGCAGGTCTTCCATTGCTCATCAAGGCTTGGTACAAAGAGGGACACAAAATTAATTAGTTTTTTTTTTTAAAGTGCTTAACTCATCAGGAGGGACCAATTTGACCCCAATTTGCTGCTCGTTCTTAAGGGAATCCTGTCCTGTGGTTCTCTGCATCATGCTCACAGGACTTTGTGCGTTTACTGCTGGCTCAGGAATCCCGCACTCTGTTCTCTCAATCGCGTCAGTGGTTCTCTGTGCAGTGCCGTTCTCAGTGCCGTGTACATATTCAGGAACATAAAAGTTAAAACAGCTTTTTGGGTATTACAAATGTGCATGGGTGTGCTTTCAGGATCCAAAGACATGCCTGTTAGAGGATGAGGCATGGAGATGTCCGGTTGGGCTTTTATTAAATGGCCAAAGTTCAGATCGTTGTCAGGAAGTAACTTTAGCAATTTTTACCTCCATAAAGAATCTCCTGTAGAAAAGCAGTGGCCCTTCCTTTGTAATTGCGCACTCATTGTAACGGCTCCTGTGTCAGTGTGTTCACGTTGCCTGGGCCCTTTATGAACCCTTGTGCCAAGTATAACACAGGCATGAGTTACCAGATAAGATACTTGATAGTTTGCATAGTGGGACTGTGCAAAGCTGAATGTTTGCTATTATCCTACAAAGAAAGACGTGAAAGGGGAGCAGGGTTAGATGCGTTCGTACCTTCCCCGTGTTGCCTGTTTGCCCCGGTTCTGTCTCTCATAGCTGCATTAATCCTGGTATACTCACCAAGTGAGGACTGTCTGTATACAGGGACACGTCCTCAGGTGGAACCTGGGGGCAGCAGGTCCGGGCTGCTTGTGTGTGTTTTACGTTGTGGAGCAGCAACACTTTGACCTCGTATCTCTTATCTAGCCTCAAGGTGCCGACCAGGTCGCTCTTGGTTGAATCATTAATGACTGTTGTTGTGTTTACAGGTTCAGAATCCTGAAGTACTGCTGCACGTGTACCTCTTTAATATATGCAGGGTTCTTTTATAGAAGACTTATTTAAATTTGTCAAGCTATAATGGGCCTAATCACAGTGTCAGTGATGCATGTAAATGAGTTGTATGGAAAGCGTGTGGTGGCTTTTTATAAGTTGTCTGTGAGGTTGAGGTTTCTGTGCTGCTCACGCTGGCAGCTTCGTAGCTCTCGCTGTCTCTTGTCTGGCATGAGAGTGCCCCAACTCCTAGGCTCGTGGACAATGGGGATACAATTACTCCTGGGTTTAGACTGGAACCATCCTTTACAGAATTATTTAGCATGTTTTAATCGATATCAAACCATATGTGTGCTTTTGATCCTTTTAAATTTTGGTACAAGAAGCTTAGTTTTGATTCTGTGGTGTTGGTTAAATTTCTGCAATGCGTGAATTTCTCGCATTGTTCATTTTGGCTTTGGCTGTTGCAGTAATTTTTTAGGATGTGCCATTTGATGTCACCCGCCTGCTGACACCTGTCGTCACCGGGGAGGCATTTCAAGGCGACACAAACAAACCGGGCCTCTTACACAATCAACCCCCCCCCCCTCATAGTGGTTCACTAGGTTGAGCTGTTTGTCCCACATGGGTTCACTTGAAGAATCACCTTTGATCATTGCGAAGTGAAGGGAAACAGTGAAAATAAGCATTTCACAGTACTGAATATTCAGTTGTTGTGCTCCATCTTGGAGGTTATTTAATGTTCCTGTTCTAGAAAAATGTACCTTTTTAATCCCAAATACTGGCTCTCAAATTGCAAGGCAGTGTAGACCTTTAGTGAGCAATAGGAATAATGCCCCTTTCAGGCTGGGGTGCAAAGATGATTTGGATGCCATTGAGTCATTTGCTGATGGTTTCTGGGACTGAAAGGGCTCTGTGCCCCGTCTCCTCCTGTACTTACTGGCTGAAGTGCCTTTTTGTTAGCTGCCACCTTCTGTCTCCTGTGAAGTGCCTGTAATTGCTGTCCTTACCTGCCAAATAAAGTAACCGATTCAGCTGCTGGCTTCCGTGTCCTCTGCGTGGGCCCTGCCACAGACTGGTGGCCGCTCCTCTTCCAAGACGCCATCTCACTGCCCAATGTTCCCGGCATCCAGTTACCGTACGGACTGAGGTAAAAGGCTCCAGTTGATTTAACATAAGCCGTTATTGATTTAATGGCTTCCAGCGTGATGTGGAATGTAAGAGTCCTTCTGTGACCTAAGCACTGAATCTCGTTCGTCAGGATAGACTCCATGTGTATTGACTGTCACCCTATTCATCCCCTGGGAAATTCCTTTGCTCTTTTGGATAGAGCCAAATGATGTAATTTCCTCACCATCTGGGGGTTTAATACCTGGATATAATCAGGTGTGACGTCCATGGACCAGCAGAGGGCAGAAGAGTTCAAATACAATTAATACTTAAGGTGATTAGGGTAGAACAGTTATTGATATATGGAATCCTGCAGTGTTTCAGCGCTAAGGCCAAGTTAAATATTAGTTACTATTTTATTTTAAATATTACCTTTCAAAATAACCATGTCTATAGGGAAGTGGTAAATGCGCAAAACACCAGCTGGGGGCGACATTGCTCACAATATAACACACAGGAAAGGGGTTCGTGCTTAATAAAAAGACTTAATTACTCGTTTTCCCACTTTTTGAACTCTTACGGTAAACACTGCTGGACCACATCGTAAGTTAGTTATTTTAAACATGCTCACATTACTATTATCCATCCAGTTTCTGTAACCGCTATTCCAATTCAGGGTCGTTGAGGGTTCGGTGCCTATCCCGGAAGCTACAGGCAGGGAACAACCCACCACAAGACACACTCGCACACCATTCACTCACATAAGCACACCTACGGTCAATTCCAATTAACCTCAGCATATTTTTGGAGTGTGGGGGGAAACCTGAGTACTCGGGGGAAATCCCACGACGACGCGGGAATTGCATGCAAACTCCAGACACACGTGGAGCCATAGCGGAGGCTCAAACCCTGGTCCCAGAGATGTGAGGCAACAGTGCTAACTACTACTGCTAATCATTATTCTATCCCAACCGGCAGCGCAGAATCCCAGTTTGATATATCGAAGGGTCACACCAGTGCATAAAGTGGACCGGTACTCACTAGTACGTAGTACCGGTACCTCTTAGCTGTCTCTAAAGAGTACAGGAAGCGTTTCTTGTATACTGGCACCACTCCTAATCTACCAGTATTGAATAACTATGTGAGTACAGGTGTTATGCCGAAAAAAGCATACCTGCCGTAGAATGCATGCCGGTATTCTGACGAGTTGAGCTTTTATGGGTTTTTTGGGGGTTAGGGTTTTTGGGGTGTTTTGGGGGTTAGGGTTTTTTTGGGGATTAGGGTTAGGGTTATCGATTAGCACTACGGTAGCCTAATTCGACAAAGTAGCTCAACTCGTTTCATATCAGCGACCGATCGGTCATTTAGAGACAGGTATGCATTCTATGGCAGGGATGCCTTTTTCGGCATAACACCGACAACTTTTTTTTTTTCACATTTGAAGCGCCGATTAACACTACACCACTTTTAGAAAAGTGTGCCTTTACACGTGCTTTGTCCGTAAAGTTAACGAAGGTACTTAAGTCTCAAGAATATACATCGCAGTTCTGGGTATTGTGGGGTTTGTGCACATTATGTCACAGTCTAATATTTATATCAAAGGGATAAACATAAGCAGCGCGCGCTTGAGCCGCGAGCGGGTCTTTCCCCCAGAGCTGCCTGTCCTCTGTATCTGGAAAAGTAATTTGGCCAGCGGATCCCGGGAGGGGGCTGCAGGATTGCCCCCATCTCCATCTCAGAAACCCCTGGACAGGAGAAACTCGCCGGTGTGCCACATCTCCGGTTCATTCAATTATTTTTATATTTTGATATGTTTCTGGGAGACGCGGCAACGCTGCCGCAATTTGCTCCCCAGGTGTATCATTTCCATCAAGAACCATTATGCAATTAATGAGTGATTGTCTGAAAGGCTTTGAGTCTCCACTGCCAATCAGCAAGTCCTGGAGAAGGATAAGGAACGGCTCCTGGATCTTCTTGGCGGATCAGAACTGAAGTGAGGCGGCTGCTGAATGAGGGGCTCCAGGGTGCTGCCAGGTAATGGGGGGGGGTCTCATCACTACTATTGTTCTGGGGTGATGCCTGCACCTGCTGTAATTAGACACACATGCATGAAGCAGGATTTTTTTTTAACCTCACAGTGCATGGAATTTTTCCCGAAACTTTGGTACACTCTTAGAAAAAAAAGGTTCTTGGGGGTGCTATATAGAACTATAGGGGTTCTAATCCTAGGAAATAGAAACATTGCCTTCAAAAAGGTGCTATCTCTATATAGAACCTTTTGAGGGTGCCATATATGTACTAAGCTATAGAACCCCTAAAGGTTCAATATGGAACCTTTTATTTTAAGATTGTATGTAATGCTAAGCGAGAGAGAATAAGTGTACCATAGACTGAAGACATTGGGGGGTATTTGATAATATTTTTATCAGTTACACTGTTGTAGTAGATGATAAAATGCCGTAAGGTATCTTGAGAGTGAGAAGTGAAGCTGTCGGGATTTCTTTGTCAGGAGAGTTATGTTTTATTCTTGTTTCAGTGTATGGTGCCTCAACTGTCTCCTCTGAATGGGTCTTCTGTACATTTGAGAATGTAAACATGTGATTTACAAGTTCACTGCCAATTGTAGGCTAAGTTCATAGTAATGAGGTAAAGGAGGCAATTTCCAAACCATTTCTAAGAGGAAGTGAGCACACTTTGGCCCGCTTGTGGTGTTCTGTCCGTTGGCAGTTGAAAGGTGAACATGCTTTGAGAAGCTCTCCTCATGAACAGCACTGCCAGTGAGGGTCGCCATGTTTGAAATTCATGCTAAAGTCCACTATTTATACCAAGGCTGATCACTGGAGGCTCTGGAATTGTAGGCTTGTGGGTTGAAATGCCAAAAGGCAAAACCAGGTGAAACTGTAACAAAACACTTGTCTTTGTGGATAAAGGGATTTTTCTTTGCTGGAGGCAAAATCTCTGCAGCTAAAATTTTCTTTGTAATATAAGTTCTCTGGTAATACGTGGAATGATTCTTATCGAAAACCATTATGAAATGCTGTAGGCTCAGTATTGCGGAGGATGTTCAGATGGGTCACGCTGGTTCTCCTGAAGTTCCCACGTGGCTGTGAAACAGCTGGGCCTTCGACGACGAGGGCCTCACTGAGCCAGCCGTGGAAATAGACCTTCCTGTTTGTTTTTTGCCTCAGTGGGCTTGAGGCGATTGAGTGTTTGGCTGTTTGGCATCTCGGCGCGGGAGGTGAAGCTGTACGGGGGTGGTTAAACCCCCATCTGGCCAGTTGGGGGGTGGGATTAAGGATTCAAGAGTTTATTGCCATATGCCCAGCAAGCAACCAGTCACACTATACAATGAAAAACTTACTGTCTTCCCCTCTAGCCTCTGCTGCACACAAAGTACAAATTAAGGGGCTTACAGTAATTTAATGAATAAAATTACAATTATGACAATGTATAACAAATGTATCACACTGTAATTTATTTCATGACAGAAAACTTTGTGTCAACCTCTGTTGTTCCTTTGCGATGACGATGATGTTCATGGTCAGGATGCAGTTGATGGTATTGCTTTGTGTTGACAATCTCTGATGATACCTGTACAATCTAGTGTTAACTATTTTTGAAATAAAAGTTGTTCACAAAAAATAAAAATGACATGTTAGATTAGAGCCAAGCGCCCCCTAGTGGCCCGTCCTCCTGCAGTTGCGTCTCCTTGAGGGCCGCGTTGACGCATGGCCTGAACGCAGCCCCTCTCAGAGGCCGTGTGGCTGTCCTGGGAGCCGCTGCTGATGTCTGATAGCCGTGTGCAGTATGAATGCAGAGCGGAAGGGCAGATATGCTTTAATTAGGGCAGCTTTCACAGGACGATGGTGCATCTGTCATAACGAGCTGCTTTCCGAACTGCTGACAGGTTGCAGGACGTCCTGTCAGGCCTGGGGGGCACTGGGAATACAGAGCTCTGCTGGACACTATCCCCCCCCCCCGTCACGCTTGAGTTTCTAACATTTTCTGTGTTCTTGCCGCCCCCCCCCCCCTTCTGTCCCTGCATGTTTAATATTAGTATTGCTGTGGTCATTAATTTTGCTGCTTAACTGATTTTCTTACACTTGATAGCTTTTTAGGTATATGCACAGGGTCACTTGCTGGCT